CATATTATGATATGTAACTGAAAAAAATCATAAGGCATGCTATGTAAGGATAAAGTCATAAAGAAATTAATATCACTGGGTTTCTAATAGGAAAACTTTGAAAACAAAAATAGTCAATCTTAGGTAATTTTGGCGCACTGGAAATAAAATGACATCCAAAATTATTATTGATTGGCTCGAGATTTCAAGATATGGTACCAGTGTTCTATAAATATTTCATCAAAATGGTTGTCCTTGTCAGATTAATTAATCTCCTAATAAACCAATTATTATTCTCCTTTCCATTCAGATTTTCACACATTTAACTGACCTGTGAAAAATGTTCCATGAATATCTGAACAGAGACTGCTATATGTGTGGTAAAGTGACCCAAAAGCGAAATATAACCCGTTGTAAAGAAAGCTTACCAACTAAATTTTGGATGCAAAATTAAAGACAAAGACAAAAAGTGTGCACCACAGATAGGCTGTAATATCTGTACAACAAATCTCAGTCAATGGCTAACCAAGAAAAAAAAAGCAGTGCCTTTTGCAGTGACCACGATTTGGAGAGAGCCAACCAATCATGTCATTAATTGCAACTTCTGCATGGTGCTTCTAATTGATTGTCAAAGAAAAAGAAATGGACAATGCAATATTCAAACATTCCATCAGCTTTGCATCCTGTCCCCCATAATGAAGACATGCAACGGAATCGTATGAAATTGAGCCAGATAATGAGGAAAACTTCATATGACCAAGATTATTGTCTAACATCCATCTCTTAATCACACATTATAACTCAAAGAGACCTAAAAGGGATCAGCAATCAGGAACTTCTTAAGAGTAAACCAGAATCATTTGGTTCCAGGTTATGTAAGTAGAATCTGTTTGGCGGTGATGTTTAGAGCTCCAATTTCTGTGATTGTCACAAGGATTTAGTCCCATTCTTCCTTATGGAAGATGATTTAGAGTACTTCAATGATATCAATGGTCTTATGCAATCACTTAACATTAGTAACAGTCCAGAGGAATGGAGGCTGTTTATTGATTTCTTGAAGACAAGTCTCAAAGCTGTCTTGTTACACAATGCTAATGTTTTACCTTCAATCAAAATGTAAATGCAATGTCAATAATGCAATGTCTCTAATAATGTTTTCTTTCTCTCGAGTTCTCTCACACTCGGTAACTCCTTGCGCTTTAGTGGCTTCATTGCCTTCTTTGGTGTAAAATGATTGAACTAAAAAAAAAAAGACGAAATAGAGTGCAACTATTCTATTTCATAATAATACGTCTGTCCTATAACAGTTATTACATTTAGTGTATGCAAATGTAATAACTTCTTTTTACTATTATTCACCCGGTAAAAGGCTCATGAGTCACTCAGGCTAGAGAGTTACTGAGTGAAAATGTTTTAATATGTAGGATAGATATCAGTTGAGCGTAGACTTGAAGAGGTTATAGTGGTCGGAGAAGCATCCTCTCGGGAGTCTGTAGCACACAGTGACAGTTCTGGGAAAGAACTTATATAAGTGGAACTTCCTCCTTAGCAATGGAATATGAGGGTAATGATGATGATTTGATGGCATATACGTGGTATGGTGGGTCCTAAGGTCCTGTAGCTTCTTTGAACATTTACCATAATGATATAAAAAAAAAACTTGAAAAATTAGTTATTTCTGTTCGTAGCGCCTATTGTATAAATTTGCCTTTAAAAGATTGCAAATCGTTTTTTAACACGGGGTTGGTTTTTTTTTGGTTGGTGGGAGGTCAGATTTTCATCGTTTCCTTTTCGCATTTACATTTTCTTGTGGAAACGGCCATCTTTGGAGATCACTGCTTAATCATTCGGAAACTAGAAGACAAATTGAAAATTAGGATTCCGTGGAAAACAAAAATCCATGAACCACCTGCCTGCGCGATAGTTTAGTCAATGGCTCGCACATTTACAGAAGGAAGACAGAATTAATTTGCTTCCGTGAAATTTTAACTAGGTTATCGTTGGAATCTCAGCCTCAGACGTTTAACATTTTTCGAAATACCTTCATAGATCCCAGAAGTTCTATTGTCTAAGACAATTTCAAGTCTATCTCGAACATGCCTAATCACCGCAAAGGAGAGACTTGAACTAATATAGGTATGGTTATACCAACGAATTTATGAGTAACGACGAAGTTTCAAGAAAAATAGAAACTACAAGAAATTTATACATATAATCAAAAAGAGACAGGCCACAGCACGCTGATAGTTAAGCAACGTTGAGCCTGGTCAGTAGCTAAATGGGTGACCACTAGCAAATAGCAGGTGCTGCAAGCTTGGTTGTGCAGATGGTGTAATAGATAATGGCTCGGAATGGTTACTCAAAGACCCAAATTCCAATTCCCGTTCATTTCATTATATGTACTTACGCGCAAATAGCCTTGGGAAAGACATGAATTCACCTATTCTCTCCCTAGCTATGGATTAATTAGTAAGACTTGTATCACTAAACCATTAGTATCGCCAAAAAGTATTCTTACAATTTAAAAATACTTTCTGTCTTTAAATAACCTGCAATGGGTTGATAAACCGTAAAAATGAAGTAATCGATCAATCCGAAAGAGACAGCTGGAAATTCAGAGACACATGAGGAAAATCCATATAGAAAATAACACTGACAGGAAGCTATGAACGCAAGAGAAGCAGAGGTAAAGTGAGAGTAACGAGCTTGATTGAATGGATGGCAAAGCAAACGCAGAGAAAGATGGTAATGTAGCAAAGGACAGGAAGCTATGGAGAGACATCATCACCCACGCCCTGAAACGACATGACATACGAGAAGAAGCGTTTCGATTGTAATGTGTTTTGTCACAAGGTAAACCAATTATTGGAGACCCGGAAAAATGAATTCACCGTGTTCGATTCTATCTCATACACTTCGCGCCATTGACCTTAAAACGGGCACGGATCCATCTTCATCAAGTTAAATACTAACGTAGGTTCTCTTGCCTTGAAGTGGCAACAAATCTAATAGAAGGAAAACTCTGAATTCCAAAGTAGCCATAAGAAGGACGAAATTCATCAGGTTATCTTGCCTAAGACACGCAACTGCTGTTATGGTTGCAATACATGCGGGGTCCCTACGTCCCCTTATTGCCTACAAGACTGGTGACGGGACTCCAATTATTATAGACACGGCATTAATGTTCCTCTTACGATCACTGAAGTTAAGCAACATCGAGACTGATCTTGATGGGTGACCGCTTGGAAATACCAGACGCTATAAGCTTGGATGTGCGGGTGGTGCAACAGATAATGGCTCGGAATTTTTAATTGGAGAGTCGAGTTCCAATTACAGTTTTATCCGTTGTTTTCATTTCTTATCCCTCAGCTATGGATTAATTAGTAAGATTTATATTATTAGTCTGAAACCATTATTATCTAAAAAAAAAAAAATAAAACCACGTACAATATGTTTAGATTTAGGTATTAAATAACCCACAGAGCTTGACACGCCTTCTAAACAAAAACAACCAACCAAAATTAACGTTCCACAGGTTTTCCACTTCTCAGGCGAGTCTGTCTATATTTCTCAGATGAGGTATTATGTACACTATTTACATTATTCGGACTATTGTCCTCATCTTTGTTGCCATATTTATTACAACGTTTCCTCAAGGACACATGTGACAGTGGGTAAAGGCTTTAATTAGATCCAGTGACAGGACCCAAAGAGTGTGAGTTCAATGCCTGGTTAAGGCGGTGGAGAACATTCAGAGGGGAATTAACAGGAGATAACTTATATCTGACATCCATTAGACATGGCACGTGGAACTAGAACAGTCTACCCCAGTGAGTGAATTAAAGGGTTCAGTTCGACATTCCAACCACCTGAAGAAGACCGAAGCATACAACGGTCGAAACGTTGAAATAAATATGGCAACAACGATGAGGACAATAGTCCGAATAATGTAAATAGTATTTTACCAGACGCTATAAGCTTAGATGTGAGGGTGGTGCAATGGATAATGGCTCGGAATTTTTAATTGGAGAGCCGAGTTCCAATTTCAGTCGGGTTCGTTATTTTCACCTCTTCTCCCAAACAAAACCAACCAACCAAAATTAACGTTTCACACGTTTTCCACTTCCCAGGCGAGGTTCTGTATTTATACAATAGTTTGCTTTCCATTTATTTATTTTTGGTATGCATTTCCTAGTCTGCCGGGATAAGATCGTCTAAGATCAGCCATCTTCCCTTTTCCTTGTTTACATCTATTCGCTTTTATTGGGTGAGCATTTGTTGCATTTATTTATTATTATAATTATTTATAGTAATAGTGAGAGTTATAGTAGTCAACTAGTAGTAGTAGTAGATTGTATTGTTATTGTTGAAAGGTTTATGAAGAAGACTAACTGCGGAAATAGCGATGTAGGTGAGACTGCAGACTGTAGATTGTGAAAAGAACAAAACCACATCTGTACGCAATCAGCTTTGACAACAGAAAGCAATTGTCCACATATCCAGTTTTGGGGAAGCGAGAAGAAAGGGAGGAACAGACGACAAGTGGCCGACATTAGAATTGTTTTTAATGCGAATCACATTTCCGCCATTCAACATTGCTGTTGGCACACAATGTAAAACAAAACAGAGACTGGCGAAAATACGAAATCAGGACAATACTTGATTTATTTCATAATGTTCTTATGATGTTTGCTTTAATTTTTTTCTGCCTAATTTTACATATTCCATTTGTTACAATTCGGTTGAGTCATAAGTAATTTCTGTTTTGGGGAATCAGTTGAAATGACAAATGTATCATCATAAGTAACCATTCCTTAAATATATCGTAACATGGAAAATGGGTATACATGCAACAGTTTTCAAAAGCAAAAGAAGCGGACTGACAAGAATTAAAAAAAAAAGTCGTGCTTGATGAAAGAAAGGTAATGGTAGTGCCGGTAGATGAATCGTCAGGATATTGTTCATTTGGAGTTCTTAAAACTAAACAACTGTAATTTGTCCATGAAAGTTTGGCTGAAAAGTGATCTAATCTCATCAATATCTATCTATCTATCTATCTATCTATCTATCTATCTATCTATCTATCTATGTCCAGATCTATCTCCATGTCATTTCTTTTTATCTATCTATCTATCTATCTATCTATCTATCTATGTCCAGATCTATCTCCATGTCATTTCTTTTTATCTATCTATCTATCTATCTATCTATCTATCTATCTATCTATCTATCTATCTATCTATCTATCTATCTATCTATCTATCTATCTATCTATCTATCTATCTATCTCATTTATTTATTTCTATCTATCTATCTATCTATCTATCTATCTATCTATCTATCTCATTTATTTATTTCTATCTATCTATCTATCTATCTATCTATCTATCTATCTATCTATCTCATTTATTTATTTCTATCTATCTATCTATCTATCTATTTTCTTGTACACATGCGCATATCCACACGTACACTAACCGTTCCTTAAATATATCTGTTGTAGGATACCTACGGAAGATATAGGTATGTCTCCACTGACATAAATATAGTAGTAAATACTGTATGTTAGTCTGCAGTCGAAGATTCGTCTCCGGCTGTGCTGGTTGGGCTCTCTGCCTCCGGGCAGGGAGAATCCTCAGACGAGGCTGTGTCGAAGGGCAGAGATTCGTGTCGAGAGGCAGCTGCTCGGCCCTGTTTTATACAGGGTCTACGGAGAATTTTTGGCCGAGCCTACAGGCTCCGATACCCACATTAAATTCGGCCTCGTGCCACATCTGACCGCGGAGATTCATTGTGGAATTCATTTGACTCACTTCTAGCAGTTGACTACTTCTACGCGCCGCTAGCGAATCTTATATGTGTTGTTCTTGGCCTAAGTATTACTATTCACTACCAACCCCCGTTTGATTATTCTATTCAGTAACCTTCCCTAGGTTACAACAATATCATAACAGGTCATGGAAAATGGGTTACATGCAACAATGTTCCTTTCAAAATGCAGTGGATTAACAAGAATAAATCTCCACAAATGAACACAAAAGCTGAGATCCATAGAAGAAATCTAATGCTGTACATGTGGTAGGATCGTCAGGATATTTATTGATTTAGAGGTCTTAAAACGCAATGAAACAATAAACACACATTTATACGCCAGGCAGCTGCAACGTGTCCACAAAAGTCTGATTGAAAAGCCCCATGCTTCTGTCAATATGAAAAATGTTCTCCTCCCTGAAAACAAAAGGCCGCGTAGAACAAGAACAACTCAGGAAAAGGTTTGGATCTCGGTTGGTCTGTTCTACTCTATCCCCCATATTCATCTAACCTTGCATCAACTGATTATTACCGTTTTCGATCGCTGCAAAATGCTTTGGTGAGAAAAAACTTTCTCTAATGAAAACCAGATTGATAACTGCGTTGAAAACATTTTTACATCAAAACCAGTGGCATTTTACTCGAATGTCATCAAAGAGCTGTTTGATAAATGGCGATAAGTCCTTGAAAACAGCAAGGAAAATATGATTTTTTTAAAATCATTTCACCCCATGCAAAGTAATTAAAGCCACTCAGACGCAACTGATTGAATCTCCAATTTGTTATTTGTATGTTGGGCTGTTCCTTTTTCTGACAACTATACATTCTGTCTACTTGCAATTGAGGTTTAGATCTTTCTTCTCGTTTTCCTTTACTTACTAGCGATGTTTTGGATATAAAAGTGTGTCTATGTTTATTTTCTGCGGGATTATCTTTAATTTTTTTTAGCAGTATTACTTTTTGAAACTTTTCTAGAAGAGGACATCTATTTGAGAATAAGAAGGATCATAGACATTATTAAATGTCACTGTTTACAAGAGAAAACGAAGTACACTTTTATTGACTTAAAGAAGCTAGTATATAGTTTCATTTGTCGGTAAACAATTTGATCTTTAGAAGCTTTGCTTCAATCTTCTACAAAAGCAGTCGGTTGACTTTTAATCATTTTACTCGAAGCAAGGTAATAAAGCCACTAAGACGCAAGGGGGGGCTTACTGAATACAAGGAATATGAGAAAAACATTATTAAAAAGAAAGAACAATAATTAAGAAGACAGAAGTTAAAACTTCACATTACATTTAAATTTTTGAACATCAAAGATGACTGGAAACCGAGAAACCAGAAGAAACTTTCACAGGCTAGAAGTGCGAAAGAAGAAACTTCAAGTATAGAACATACGGTTACATCTAGCCATTTTAAGTGTAAAATGATGAGACCTTGACACCAATCTAGTATTTCACTTAGTTTCATTCACCATGAAATACAATTACCATGAAAATATTTAAAGAAAAATGCACAGGGCAGTTACGTTACGGCAATAGGAAAGTGACTGAAACCGAGTTACCAGATCAGAACCAATAATATTGCAGATTCTTCTTTGGGTTGCATCAAGAATCTCTATATACAGAATAGAAACACCAGACCAGAACTAGCAGCAATATTCAGTGCATGGACGAATAATTGACTTATAAATGCGTAAGATAGATAGCGGGAAGAAAAAAACTGTGTAATACGACACAGTGAACCCACTTTCCTAGCAGAAGTCCTAGCAGTTGATTCAATATAATTTTTCCACTTCATGTCTGCGGAAAACGATAGTCTGAGAAGACGCAACGAGTCACTTGTAGTGTCTCTGAGGATTTCTTTAAACGATCCGGCATTTTTAATTAAGTGAGTTTGACCTGCCTCAATGTCTATTATTTATCTCTTGACAGGGGGAAGACAAAACTGAAGTATTTTGAACTTATTCAAGCCAACAAAAAATGCATTTTGATCTGTTTTCTTCTACAGCTGTAAATATTTTAATCTTATTTTAGATTTTCATTTTGCTAGTTTTCGCCTAGAACCTACTTTTTTACTAGTGTCTCTCAAAGGAGAGGGTTACTGAACGGGAATATTGCAATTTCGTATTTGGAGGGAGCAAGGATTGCATATTATGAGAATATGTAGGATAGATAACGGTTGACCGTCAACTTTGAAGAGGTTAAGGTTGTAATGACAATCGAAGCATTTCTTCGGGAGTCGGTTTTACATTGCAACAATTCTTGGGAAGAAGCTGTCTGAGTGGAACTTCCTCTTTACCAATGGAATATGAATGAAATGAGGATGAGATGACCCTGTGCAGGTGGCATGGTGGATCCTAGTTGGGAAGGTCTGAACTGGTGGAATTAAGGAATGTATTTCGCCGGAACATCTGCCATGAAAATAGCAGTAGAGTGTCGAGAGCTAGCAACGTCTGTGGGGGAGGAGGAGGCAGAAGCGACTTTGAAGTCTGTCGGGACTGGAAACTGAGGATTATGCAG